TAGTAAGATGTGAGCGCATAGTAAAGGCTTTACCACATTCTCTACATTTGTAAGGCTTCTCTCCAGTATGAATTCTCATATGTACAGCAAGACTTGATTTGGTGGTAAAGGCTTTACCACATTCTCTGCATTTGTAAGTCTTCTCTCCACTATGGATTAAGTCATGTCTAGTAAGATGTGAGTGCTTAGTAAAGGCTTTACCACATTCTCTACATTTGAAAGGCTTCTCACTGGGATGAATTCTCATATGTACAGCAAGACTTGAGTATTCAGGGAAAGCTTTACCACATTCTCTACATTCATAAGGCTTCTCTCCAGTATGAGTTCTCATATGTACAGCAAGACCTGAGTTGTAGGTATAGGCTTTACCACATTCTCTACATTTGTAAGGCTTCTCTCCAGTATGGACTAACTCATGTTTAATAAAAGATGAATGCAAATTGAAGGATCTACCGCAGTGTCTACATTTGTAAGGCTTTCCTCCAGTAGGCATTTTCTCATATCTGGTACGATTTGAATGCCAAAGAAAGGTTTTGTCACATTCTCTATATTTGTAAGCCTTCACTCTAGTATGGATTTTCCTATGTCCGTTGAGACTAGATAATCGACTAAAGAATCTCCCACACGTAACACATTTGTAAGGTTTCTCCCGAGGATGAATATTCTCATGTTCCGTAAGATATACAGTTTGGTTCAAAGACTTATCATATTCACTATGTTTGTTTGACTTCTTTACAATATAACTATTCCGATGTGTAAGATTTGAGCATTCATGAAAGAGTTTCCCATGTGCACGCTGGTTCTCTACAAACTGAAAACTCTGATGCTTATTAGGATCGGACCCTTGTTTAAAGTTTTTCCAGGATTCACTGAATTGGTAACTTCTCTCATCAACACACATACTCTGGTAATCAACAAAGACAGAAAGGCCTTCAGTGAGNGCATTTAAGAAGCATTCTGGTTGTTCTGATATAATGACCTTACTGCTCTGTTTTCCATGTGTTTGAAGACTGAGGCTCCTTGTTTAGGAAACAACAATGTACAATAATTTATGCAATTAGGGATAAGTTGTCTGTCCTTCCTAGATATCTCTGAAGACCTCTTTATTTCAACCTCATCTGGCAATATTTATGACTCCTATTTATGGCTACTAAAAAGACACATCCGGGTTTCAAACACCACCACCTTATTTTCCTTAAAGAGGAATTGGAAAAACTAATTACAATTCAGAATGTTCCTGTCTCACATTAATGCAGAGAATGATGCCTTGAACACCTACTTCACGGTGACTTACATCAACAGTCTAAGTCAACCAAACAGCATCTCCATTTAGATTTTCATTATACATTGTGTATTACAGTGCCCTCAGTCTTCCAGGGAAAAGTATTTCTGAGTGAATCCCACCCAACATAAATGTGCTCTTAGATACTAGAGACAGCAACAAACAACCCATGATTCACACACACACTACAAGTAAAAAAACATAGCATTAAGGGACTTCACAGTGAGATCACATTAATATTTCCTTTCCAAAAAACCTCAAGTACTATCAATAAAGACTGATTGTGAATAATTGTAGCTTTCCAATATCCATCCCCATGACACTTTCAAGCATGTTCACAAGTTGTTTTTTTTTAACATTTGCTTATTCACTATATGTATTCTGATTTGAAATAATATCTGCAAACTATTCTTTAGTGACTAGTGTGCAATGTCAATTCTGTAAAATTTCAGATTTCATTCTTGATTAAACATTTCCTCACATTACTTTACATCTTTAAAGTCACTTTGAAACGTGAATTATGTGGACTTCCTGAAGTTTGTATTTTGAACACAGGATTTTCATCGTTGATTTTGAATGCTGATTTCTCTGCAGTAAGCATTCTCTGATACTGAGTGAGGCTGTAGGTCCAGCTACAGGGCTTCTTGGATCCTTCAGTTTTAAGGTTTCTCTCCATTATCAAGTTTCATATGTTCAGTAAACTCTATACAGTGACTAATGGCTTAGCTACATTTTTCACATTCTCTCCGGTATGCATTCTCTCATGCCTAGTAAGAAATGAATGCTGAGTAAAGGCTATATTTACCATGTTATTTACATTTGGAAGGCTTCTCTCTGGTATGAATTCTTTCATGTTTTGTAAGTATAGAGTGTAGGTGAAAGGCTTTACCACATTCTTGACATTTGAAAGACTTGTGTCCAGTATGAATTCTCATATGTACAGCAAGACTTGAGTTTTGAGTAAAGGCTTTAGCACATTCTCTACATTTGTAAGGCCTCTCTCCACTATGGATTAACTCATGTGTAGTAAGATGTGAGTTCCGAGTAAAGGCTTTAGCACATTCTCTACATTTGTAAGTCTTCTCTCCAGTATGGATTCTCATATGTACAGCAAGACTTGAGTTGGTGATAAAGGCTTTACCGCATTCTCTACATTTATAAGGCTGTTCTCCACTATGAATTAACTCATGTGTACTAAAATGTGAACGTCGAATAAACGCTTTACCACATTCTCTACATTTGAAAGGCTTCTCTCACGTATGAATTCTCATATGTACAGCAACATGTGAGCTCTGAGTAAAGGCTTTACCACATTCTCTACA